TTTTTTTAGGGTTGATTTGGTCTGAAGTTCCCCTTGACTTCCTAGGGACACGGGTGCTAAGATAACACAGCAAACTCCATGCTGCTGCGCTTCGGGATGGACTCGGCTAGGGTTATGGTAACATCACAGATATCCTGGAAAATGCACTCCTTGCTGCCCTCAATGGACCGGAGTAGTCCAATGTCACTGGATACAAAGAAAAACAAACAGAGGGCGCACCGGCCTAGTGCATTATCGTAAAAACTGTATTGGAAGCATAAAAAGTAAGTATCGTACTCACAATAGGCAAACAGGTCAAAGGCCCATCACACTAAACAGCAGTGTCCGATCCACATTCCATAGAAGTCCAAAAAAAATGGAACCCTGGACTTCCAACAGGCTAACGCGTTTCAAGGTCTCAACCTCTCCTCAGACTTTGAGCAGGCTAAGGTCAAAGGGTCAAACAGGTCAAAGGCACATCACACTAAACAGCGGTGTCCGATCCACATTCCATAGAAGTCCAAAAAAAAATGGAACCCTGGACTTCCAACAGGCTAACGCGTTTCAAGGTCTCAACCTCTTCTTAAGACTTTGAGCAGGTTCAGGTCAAAGGGTCAAACAGGTCAAAGGCACATCACACTAAACAGCGGTGTCCAATCCACATTGCATACAAGTCCAAAAAAATGGAACCCTGGACTTCCAACAGGCTAACGCGTTTCAAGGTCTCAACCTCTTCCTAAGACTTTGAGCAGGTTCAGGTAAAAAGGTCAAACAGGTCAAAGGCACATCACACTAAACAGCAGTGTCCAAATCACATTGCATACAAGTCCCAAAAAAATGGAACCCTGGACTTCCAAAAGGCTAACACGTTTCAATGTCTCAACCTCTTCCTAAGACTTTGAGCAGGCTCAGGTCAAAGGGTCAAACAGGTCAAAGGCACATCACACTAAACAGCGGTGTCCAATCCACATTCCATAGAAGTCCAAAAAAAATGGAACCCTGGACTTCCAACAGGCTAACGCGTTTCAAGGTCTCAACCTCTCCTCAGACTTTGAGCAGGCTCAGGTCAAAGGATCAAACAGGTCAAAGGCACATCACACTAAACAGCAGTGTCCGATCCACATAGCATACAAGTCCAGAAAAAATGGAACCCTGGACTTCCAACAGGCTAACGCGTTTCAAGGTCTCAACCTCTTCCTCAGACTTTGAGCAGGCTCAGGTCAAAGGGTCAAACAGGTCAAAGGCACATCACACTAAACAGCGGTGTCCGATCCACATTCCATAGAAGTCCAAAAAAATGGAACCCTGGACTTTCAACAGGCTCAATGTGGATTGGACACCGCTGTTTAGTGTGATGTGAATGGGGCAGCACAGTGGTTAAATGGTTAGCACTTCCGCCTGGCAGTACTAGGGGTCGTTGGTTCGAATCCCAACCATGGCACCACCTCCCTGGAGTTTGCATGTTCTCCCTGTGACTGCGTGAGTTTCCTCCGGGTACTCCGGTTTCCTCCCCACACTCCAAAGACATGCTGGTAGTTTAATTGGCTCCTGTCTAAATTGTCCCTAGTATGTGTATGTATGAATGTGAGTTAGGGACCTTAGATTGTACGCCCCTTGAGGGTTAGGGACCTTAGATTGTACACCCCTTGAGGGTTAGGGACTGATGTGAATGTACAATATATCTGTAAAGCGCTGCGTAAATTCACGGCGCTATATAAGTACCTGAAATAAATAAATAATAAATAAAGGCAAATAAACTGTGCACTTTGCAAGTGCATTTGCTCCAGAGCATAGTAATTGCTGTGAAGCTTCACTTTACAAAAGAATACCCAATCAAATAAAAAAATAATAAAAAAACAGCATTTGGATGATGGAAGTCAGCTGAGCTTTCCCACATTTACCAAGGCTCCGGTCACGCCAATGCGTTTTTTATTGCTTTTTGCACAAACGCACTACAGTCCATTAAACTTGGTTTCCTATGGAACATGTTCACATCGATGCTTTTTTGAGCTGCAGTGTTTTTGGAAAGTCTCGGGGACTTTTTTAAAAGGCAAACAGATAAATACCCAGTTGAAATATGTACATAATGCCAACCAATTGGTATTTTTCTCCATTCAGTCCTGAGATTTAAACAGCTCTGCCGCACAGTACAGCAAGCCTGTTGACCTAAAGATTCTCAGTTGCAGTTAAGTAACACAACCTGGTTGGCTCTCCTCTCCCTGTATGTGGTTGGACAGCGAAGAAGCAAAAGACTGATGAGGTCATCTCTCTGCTCTCTCCTCATGTTATTTGTTTGCTTATGTAAACAGCGGTGTATTTAGGTTTTGTGCTTCCCTAGGCAACACAAAAATCGGACGCCCCCCCTCCTCCCCGCAGGGGGAGAGCCTCACACCAACAAAGATAGTCACCTTCACAGCTCTGGACATCCCCGGGAATAACAGTCAGGCTCTGCATACACCATTAAGCAGCCCGCAGCCTCTCTCTCGGTTCCCACCTGGTCCCCATGCCGCATAGGTCCCTTCTTCCAGGGGGCAGTGATGCCCCCTAAAAAATGCCGCCTTAGGCAAATGCCTTGTTTGCCTTGTGGTGAATATGCCCCTGCATGTAAATGCAATTGACCCCAAGCACCGTTCATCCCTCTCCCAGTCTACTGCACAAGGGATTGCAAGAGGATACAATCAAATTTAAGTCAATTGTAAGTATTTAAACTAGCTGTATTTAAAAGTAAGTGGACTCCCCCCTTCGAATTTCTCAATGTAGGTGTTTCCACTGATGGGTACTGTTAATGCAGAATATTTGAGACTGGGTTCACACTGATGCGGTGCGGAATTCACAGCATTTTCTATGCGAATTCCACACCTCATCAGAATCGCACCCCGTTCATGCGAACCGCTGCGGGTGTGTATGTTAACTTAACAACTCCCCAAAATCGATCCGCAAAACGCGGTGTGATGTGCAGAATCAGATCACACAGGTGAGAATACCCGTGCGATCCAATTCTAGTGCGGACCCAAAAAAGGGTTCTGCACCTTTTTGGTGCAGGTGCGGTATGTATGGCTCCAATCACACCGCACACAAATCGCATGTGGTTTGCACAGGAATGCAGTGCGGTTCCTGTGCGAATCATATGCGATATACCGCACTGCATGTATGTGAACCCAGCCTAAAACAATTAAACTAATTACAAAGGCTTGTTGTTTTTTTTTTCTCTAAAAATAATAAACATGTTATACGTACCTGCTCTGTGTAATGGTTTTGCACAGAGCAGCCCCAATCCTCCTCTTCTTGGGTTCCCTGCTGGCACTTCTGGCCTCCCCTCCTTGCCAAGTGCCCCCAAAGCAAGCTGCTTGCCCTGGGGGCATTCATGAGTGTTTTCTCCCGAGCCGCCTCTGTATGCCTATGGGACACAGAGTCAATCCCACCCCCAGCTCCCTCTTCACTGGCTGTGATTGACAGCAGCAGGAGCCAATGGCTAATAGAATGCATGAAGCTTAAAAAACTCCAGCCTTTAGAACCACTTTAAGTCCTTCATACAATGCGGTAACAGTTTGGTGAAGGCCCAGCATGACAGCGCCTCTGTGTACAAAGCCAGTTCCATAAAGATATGGTTTAATGAGTTTTTTGTGGAGGAAGGTAAGTGTCCTGTAATCAGCCCTGACCTCAACCCTACTGAATACCTTTGGGATGAATTGGAGCCATTGTGAGGTTCTCATTCAACATCAGTACCTGACCTACAAATATTCCTTTAGCTCAGGCCTCACTAAATGGCAGACCGGGGTCCGAATGCAGACCGAGTCACTGTCCCACCCAAACCCATGCAATTCTGCCATTTAAGAGTCTTTTCTTCCCCCAGGTGTCTCACGGTCATGCTCACAGAGCTGACAGTGGGAGGCAGGACAGTCTTGGATGGAGGGCGAGAGCTGCCTGAGGTTAACAAGCAGGTGATTGGCTGCAAGGATGAAGGGCATTCCTAGTAAGGTAGGCAGGACAGTCCTGAATGGAGGGTGGGAGCTGCCCAAGGTGGACAAGCAGGTGATTGGCTGCTAAGATGAAGGGCATTCCTAGTAAGGTAGGACAGTGCGGGGGGCTGCGAAGTTAAAGGGGCTAAGGACATTAGTGTGAAGAGGGGGTCGAGGACTGAATGTGGGGTGGCTGAGGACAGTAATGTGGGGGGCTAAGGACTGTGGTGTGTGGGGGCTGAGGACCTTAAAGTGGGAGGGGCTGAGTACAGTAATGTGGGGGCTGAAGACAGTAACATGGGGGAGATCTGGGGACAGTAATGTGGGGGGATGATGTAAAAAGGAACAGAGTACTATTCAGTGAAGGGGGCAGAGAACAGTACTATTGGGGGGGGGGGTGATGTCAAGGAAGTGTGAGAACACTACTGTGAAAGGGGTAGAGGGGGTGATGTAAAGGGGGAGCTGAGAACACTCATCAAGAGGGATCTTGCTGTGAATGAGGAGGGGACTGTGATGTGCAGTGGGGATTGAGGACACTGATGAATAGGTTCATATCTGTACATGTGTATTTGGTGCACACGTTGTGGGTAGGTCAGCACTACCTGCTAGAAACCTAAAGAAGTCCCAGACATTTTTTTTTCAAAATCGAAACCGCAGCAACAACTGGTTTGGCATGCACGAAAATGCACCACAGGGGCCTACATGAGATTTGGACCTCTGATGCATGCAAATTTTAGTGCCCGGACCTTGGTGAATTTTAATTCAATACCCCTGCTTTAGCTGAATGGGCCTAGTCTGCTACAATCACACTCTTAAACCTTGTGGACAGCCTTCCCAAAAAGTGATGGCTGCTGTAGCAGAGGGGGTGGCTCCTTAGCAATACCCATAATTTCTGAATGGTAAGTCCAACAAGCCCCTACAGGTGTGATGGTCAGGTGTCCACAACTTTTTGCAATATAGTGCAACTGCTTTCACAGGGTTTTTTTTTTATATATTTGCCTGGAGTCCAGCCTTAACATGTTATTTTATATTATTGAACACATGAAAAATATAATCACTCACCCCTGAAGCTGCCATCTGAATGGCTTCATGGATGCCATACAGTTTCCCTGCTACCAGGTAAACGCCGCTGGTCCAAACTGCACAGGCTTCATGCACCCAGTGCTCCTGCGTTTCTGGTTCTGCTGAGTTTGCCTCGGCCATTTTGCCACACTGATGTTTCCTGGGTTTCTCAGTCTCTGTCACCTCCAACTTTTTGTTGCAGCAGTAACAGCTGGGCAACTTCCTGAGCATTCCACGAGCACTAGATCGTAGTGTATTCTGTTTGACTTCAGTGGCTCCACCGTCTGTACAAGACGGCCTCCCGCCACCTCCTGCACAGAGGGAATCTATGGCCTTGGAAGGTTTGTCTGCGTCCTCTGTTTTCGGTTTATCCTTCAGCCTGGATTTCTTGTTAGGCAAACAGTCCATAGGATAGTAAGGCCCACACAGGTCACCCAAGTCTTTATAATTGGCTGGGCAACGGCACAAGCAGCAAAGGAGACAGCCAGAGCTGACTGATTTGCACACTAAAGGTCCCAGCTGCATCCGGGAGGAAAAAGGCAGGCTGCCTTGGTTGGCAAATGCGACGGATTGAGATGCTGAGTGAGCAGCACTTCTCTCCTTCAGTAATCGCGTCTCTTCCCCTGCAGTATTTATTACAGTGCAGATGGTGGTGAATGTATTTTTTTTCTCCACCTTAATGAACGGTGTGAAGAGGCGGACTCTATTTTCTGCCCTCACCGGTTTAGCTGATACATACTTCAGCTTGATTTCTGGTTCTTTAGGCGTTACGGGAGGTATATTATGCCTCTTTCCTCTTCTCTTGCTCCCAGGTGGTTGACTAGTTGACTTGTTTTGAGAAGAGCACTTGCGTTGTCTCTTGTTGTAGCCATTAAAAGTTGGATGCTTTGTTTTTTTTCTGGCCCTGGTTTGTGTCAAGATCTCTTCATCCGCCTCAGGAATAGCGGAGCCCTCCTCCAACATTTTGCACTCATTGGGCCGATATTTATTGGCTAGCAAAGTGCTTTCTGACAAGGATTTGTCTTTTGAAGTCAAAAGAACAGAAGGAGCAGCCGCTAGTAGGGTTTTGCCAGCCATTTTGGAAGTGCTCTGAGAACTTTTTGACCTACCTCTCCTGAGTTTTTTTTTAGGAACTGCATTAAGTTTTTTTGAACTGCAGTTACCCTCTAGCTTTGCCACTGGGTTGTGTGGCAAATTGTCCATGGAGAGAATTTGAAGTCACTTTTTTCTTGTGGTAAGATTTACCTTTGAAGGACCTATTGCCACCTCGGCAGCTAACAGCGTGCATTTCAGCCTCTGACTTTGGGGATTGAATTTGTACCATGTCCTGAGTCAACAACTTGGCTTCAGAATCTGCTATTACGAAACTATTATCTCTCAGCTCCTTGCCTTGAGAAGGAACGACTAAGGTATTGTTACCAGCTGCTCCAGCATTAACAGTCTCTCCTACAGGAGTGCCTTGTTTCTTCTGATTTGGTGATGTAATCTTTTGCACTATTGCCTCCAGTTTAAGTCCTCTGCCTTTTCTAGGTGGCAAAACCTTTGTTTTTATAGCTCCATGATAAGGCGACCGTGAAGTCACTTTTAAGCAAACTTCAGGTGCCATTCTTATGGAAGGCGAACTTAGGATGACTTTACAAGCCTTCTTGGAAGCAAGCTTTAACTTGACTTTTTCCTTTTTGACAGGCTTAATTTTTTTGAATAAATTGGGAGGGTTCTCTGACTTTTGTTCCTTTGTCTTTTTTGCTGCGTACAATCAAGTTTTTCTTTTTGGCTGGGACAGGTGAAATAAAGCTTGATTTCCTCTTCAGAGAATGCAAAGGCCGTTCTGAGTTTTTTACATTTGTTCCAATGTTGGAGGTTGCAAGTTTCATCCTTTTTCTTATTTTTGGCATAATTGGAAAAGTGTCAGCTGCCGTACAGTTGTTTGTAATGATCTTCTTTAAAGATGTACGTTTCTTAAGCACAAAATTCATTCCTCTTTTCCCTCTTCTTCTTTTGGCTGGAAATAACTCCTGCTTCTTGCTACGAGACCTTAAAATCATAGACTGTTCATCCTTTAGGATGCTGATTTTTTTGGATTTTGGACCAGCACTAAGAACAGAAGACTGTTTATTTTGTACTGCTATTGTTTCCTGGTCAGTGAGTGTCGACATTATTTTCCCACCATTTTTTCCACCCCTCTTTCCAGCTTTAAAAGGGACCCTCTCTTTCTCACGGAATGCTCCTCTTTTACTCAGTTTTTCAGGGTGTGGTGCCTTCAAGGTTACCCCTGTGCCACATTCTTGTGGTTCCACTCTGGCAGTGGAAGAACGAGTGCACATCCTTGCTGGTGTAGATTCTGTTACAGGAGTCTTCTCAACTTGAATTGCTGTTGTGGCATTTAGATTTTGTGTTTGCATGAACTCATCTTGGTTCCCAGCTTTGTTGCTACTTTCCGATGTGTTCTGTGCAGACATTTGTGTTACTTTTGCTTCTGCTGCTTTGCACCTTCGACCACGTTGAGATTTCTTCACAGGTGGTTCCAAGATTGCTGGCTGTTCATTTGTTGCTTGTTGGTCAACAGTTTCTCCTTCCTCTGGCAGGGTTGAGACGACTTCTTTTTTAGCTTCTATTACCAACTGACTTCCATTACAGTCTTTCACAATCTCTTTGCTCTCTTCGTTGTTCTCCTTTGTGTCATCTACTGCTTTGATATGTGACAATGTAGACTCAAACCAGCTGTTTACTTTGGACTCAGTCTCAACAGCTGGACCAAGTAACATGATTGAGCTGTCTGACAGCTGTGCACATTGAACTGAATTATCTTTCTCCTCAGTGCTTGGGTTTTCTATAGATTCTGGTGTATTGATTGAAGATAATGCTTCTGAATCCCTCACCTGCTTTGGGAGGGATTCATCATCTATAAGAGACTTTCTTTCTGAAAAGTCACATAAAGAGGAATAGTCTTCTGGCTCTAAGTTGGATTCTTTTTGGGATGGTAGGTCAGGGATGTCTTGAAATTCATCTTCGGTGTAACAATCTCTGGTATCCTCCAACCACTTCTCATTGTCAGTTTTGCTGTCTTCTGTGTAGGTCAATTCTTCTGCCCCCTCCTTGTTAAACTCTTCTCCGGAGTCATTTTCCAGAGGTGTTTCCACATCGGGAACATCCAGCTGGCTATCAACTTTATTCTCCTTGTTTTGAAACAAACCCTTCTGCAGATCTGAATGAAGAGTCAACTCAATTTCTTTCCACCTGAGACAAGACTCTGACATGTTCTTATCTGGCCACTCAAAGGGATCTGAACTCTTTGAGCCTGTGTTAGCCAATGTACTTGAGTAAATTGTATAGCTTGAGCTAGATGTTGCATTCTCAATGTTTTTTTCTATATTCAGACTAACAGATTTTTCAGTGGTGTCCACAAGTTTTGTTTGCACTATTGGAAGTTCACTGAACTCACTGTTGTTCTTCATCTGAGTTTTATCTGGTGTAACTTTCTTTATAGCATCTGGAATTACTTGTGGAGCCCCTTGATCTGACCACGTGTTCTTAACAACAGATTCTACACATCTGTGATTTTCCAGGTTAAATGGAGATTTAGGTGAACTGTTCAGTTCTGGGGAATCAGCCCAGGCCTTTTCTGCTTTCTCATTATCAATAGCATCTTGAAGAGCAATGATCTCTGTAGACAACTCCTCTTGAGACAGTGCATTAACCAGTAAATGGGGACACTCCCTTTCGCTACTCACTAACTTAGCAAATGTCTCCAGAGGAAGGCTAGTATGGATGCTTTGAAATGAATCATCAGATTTTGTAGACATATTATCAGGTGAAGTCACAGAACAAGTAGAGATAGACTCGGGTTTCATTTTGATACTGTTGGCCCTCCCAGGGCTTCGTCCAGGACCACAGTACATGTAGTTTCTCTCTAGCTGGTCTTCAGAGCCACTAAGGTAGTCAGTATCTTGCATTTCAGCATGTACAGACTGTGGAGTTCCTAATGTTTCAGACAGAGGCGTACCCATTGGTTCAGAAGAGTATGCACTGCTTTCAGAGCTACAATGTTGCGTTTTCATTGACTCTGGGGTCCTGGGAGAAGTCTTAATACCCTTCTTTTGAGGAATCCCAGACTTGGACAGAAGTAACTGTTGAACAGTACTAGAGATGTTCTCCACTTGGGAAGTGAGCGCTGTAAGGCTTTGCAGACTGAGGTCAGAGAGCAAAGTCTCTGGGATTTTGTCATTTTGTAGACTTTTAGTTTGTGACTCTGGGCTTGAAGTACCTGTGGGAGAGGGATTAAGAAGAGGCATGTAGTGACTATGATCAGAAATACCCATAGGAAATGTATTAGGATTATGCTGCTGCTGTTGCTGGTTGTATTGGAAGTTTTCAAGGTTTGTCATGAGAGGAGATGGCGTAGAACTGTAAGACGGGGATCTGCCCACTGATCGGGCCGGGGAATGGCTGGCGCTGGGACTAAACGGTTGGTAATACTGTTCTGGGGTCCTATTGGGGGCCTCAGGCTGGCAGTATGCTTGGCCTTGTTGGCTATAATGTTGCCCATGGTATTTGGCCATGGTCTGGTAGTGCAAAGATTCCTGCGTGTGATGTCGTTGTGATTGTTCAAAGGAACCCATTCTAGATGCCTGGTAACCATGCATGGCTTGCACCCTTTGGCCAGCTGCTGCAGCAGCAGCAGCAGCAGCAGCAGCGATGGCATGCTCATGTGGAGGGTTAGATGGGGCAGTGCAACTCTTGAAGGAATGAGAAACGGGGCTGCCTGCTGGCACAGAGGAGTAGGTAGAAGTTGGAAAATTCTGATTAAAATGGGCAGATTGAGAGAAGGGGTGAGGGGAAGATGGGACGTCAGTTTGGACTTTTTGCCTGGGTAGCTTAGGATAGTTAAGACTGGGCTGCTGTGGGTGCTGCAGAGAGTGCGAACGGAATGACATTTGTCCAGAAGGGTCCTGGTATCCCCTTCCTTCTCCAGGAGACTTCTTTATTACATTTTCCTCATATTTTGCTCCAGTCAGAGCCTGAGTCTGCCCCCAGTTCTGCAGACCTTCTTCACTGGAATACTGTCCAGGGTACACATTGGCTTCAGGAAAACTGGCAAAAGAGACCCGGCCCTGCAGCTGCTGGACATTTATGTGCTTGTCACCCCGGGGGTATTTCTCCCCAGAGTTATTCTCATAGCCTTGGTAGGACGTCTGGGCATAGTAGCCTTTGGTCATCTGTCGCTGACGCACGCAATTGAGCCCAGGCTGACTTTGATGCCTGTAATTTTCCAGGCGTGAGGAATCCTGTGAAGATGGTTGGTAGTTCTGCTGGTTGCCGTGGAAACCACACCTTTCCCGAAAAGACTGCATGACTCGGTCTTGTTATCTGTAGGAGAAAAAAAAACAGAATATATCAGTAGATTTAGAGGCAATGTTTTTCATATGCTACAGTTCTTACCCCACTACCCCTTGACTGCACATTCTTACAGACTCAACGGAAGGAACTGAACTGTAAATCTCAACAAATCACTCAAATTGGGATTTGGAAACAACAGTGACTGAAGAGGATTACTATGTGACCAGTCAAGTATAAAGTCCGTTTGAAATGTTCTCATGAAATTGGATTCTGTCATCTCATGCTCACCACGCACACAAGGTATTAGACTGTGGTCCCTATTTTCAAAAGGTCAGAAGGAGGATGTGTCTGTGCTGCCCATGGCAACTGGATCCCCGCTTTCATTCGCCCAGTATACTACAGGAGAACTAATGTGATTGGTTCCTATAATAACACATTTTTCGTTCCTGGCTGGAAACGTGCTCCAGTGTCCTCTTTTTCTCAAGTAACTATGATACCTCAGTAACACTGCTTCACTTTCTGTGTTTTTAAAGCACCATACAATCATTTATGTAGCAGTAACTAGAGAAAAATACCATTACAGCTAATCAGGGCTTTTCTTTCTTTTTTTACTTCCAGCACCTCCAGCACTGCATATATGTAATGGCAAGGGATGCTGGAGGGTCTACTGATGCAGGCTGCTGGGGGATCTATTATCACAGTTGGGGATATAATGTTGCTATTGGGTCATTTGTTGCTAGGGGGTATTTTTTAGTGGGAGGTGTCTTTTGAAGGGAGGGATCTCCTATTCTAGGGGGGATCTATTGTAGCAGGGATGGAATCTATTGGTGCTGAGGGGTCTAATGTTGCAGGGAGGGATGTATTGTTCTAGGGGGTCTATTGTTTCTGGGGGGTGCTATTGTTGCATGGATGGGATCTATTGGTGGAGAGGGGTCTATTGTTGCGGGTGGGGGGTCTATTGTTTCTGTGGGGATCTATTATTGATGGGGAGCTATTGTTGCTAGGGGTTTTACTTAATCCACCACTTGTTAAACCAACTTTCTGTTAGTGCAGGGCATCATGGGTCCAACCCCGGGGTAGGCAATTATTATGATAGCTGGCACTCACATACACGCTGTACATGTATGCATAGAATGGCACTGGAGTTATCACCACAGCCTCCTATGTCATAAGGGCTGCCCAGTGCTGGTGAAGAGGAAAAGGGCGCTGCACGTTTAAGAACGCTTAAAATAAATAAACAAATAAATGTAGAAGAGTGGAGTTGTGCTTTCAGTGGCCTGATAAACCAAAACAATACTATCCATTGGCCAGTATAATGGCATACAGACCCAGTGTGTGGCCCATTCACATCATTTTCATTGGTGCTCCATTAAAGTGAAGAGCCACTTGGACGACATCTCAAAAAATGGTTGGTTGCTATTTTATATTCCAACTATCTTCTTTTCATGCTCAATACATAAGACAGAATACATATGTCCATAAGTAATAAAGCCTTTTCAATAAATCCAGTTTCTTTTTTTTCCCCTCAAAGTCTACACAAAGCAAGTAAATGACACAAGATAGGAGTTCTATTTACTCCAAAACCTGAAATGAACTTTTTGACGGCGCACAGCAAACCTCGGACATTTTAGCTGACCACTCACATATGCAGTGGGACAATTTCCTATCCTAGGAATGTGTGGATATCAGCCATGGGATTGTAAAGGCCTCCACTAAGATCACTTACTACCCAGAATTTTGAACTGCATTTAAAGTGTAATTTCACTTTTTCAGACAAAAATGTAAAGGTAAACGAACACTGCACACTCCCCAACCCCCAGGTCACCACTGTTCTTAGCTCAATTGGTGATGAGCTTTCAGTGCCCACGTAGCTGGTGCAGAGGTCTAGGGATTTGAAAGCCTTGATTCTACTCTCTGCAGTACTTCTGGGACAGATCAGAATGCTGACCAATCAATCAGATTCAGACAAATGTCCCTGAAATCCCCTGGTTTTCACTGAAACTTAGGGAAAAGAAAAGTTTCCAAGTTTGTTCATCCCTACTTAACATGGCTTCATCTGTTTGTTCATTTCAAGAATCCTACAAAAGACAAGGGGTCAAACGCTGTAAAGGGTCACTTCTACACTGACCACTTTTTTTTTTTAATTCTTGGGTGGGGAAAGAAATGATAAACAACCATAGAACAATTTTCAGTAAACTAGGCCAAAGTGAACCATTGTAATACATGAATCAGGGTACTAAGGAACAATTTCACTTATTAGGTATTATGTATCGAGTGACTGCCCAAAGGGGGAAGTTGTGGATGATGGGGGGGGGGGGGGAAGTGGCTCCCTATTCCACTGCCAGGGAGGATTCTGAGGCCAAGAGATCTTGGTAAGCTGTGGAAAATTGGAACTGGGTCCAGTAGAACCATGTCTTTCGAAAATGTTTGCCTTGTTGAAGCATTGACATTGTGAGGTCTTCCTTAGTTCTGATTTCATATGCTCCTTTGATCTACTGGGCAATTGAAGGGGTCTGTCCTGACTTGGCACTGTTTATTACATGTATTAGCAGAGATTTACAATATCTCCATCTCACTACTGTGCTGAGATGTAGAAGACACACAGCAGGGTTGACCACTAATGGTAGAAGACACCATAGTTTTTACTATCTGCCTTTCTCTTCTGCCGCTGTTGCTCATTTCAAGAATATTGCTGAAATAACTTTGTAGGGGTGGTGGTAACAGAATTAACTGTCCTGGGTGTCAGATATGCTAGGTGCTCCACATTACTTAATCTGTTATTAAAAATGTAAAACTTAATGATCTTAATGTACTATGAACTGCAGGTAAAATTCCTTTCAGTAGGGGTTCTCTGAGAACCTGAAATTTATTTGAAGGGTTCCATAGGGGTGTTGGTAGGTTGACTTGGAGGTTTGAAAATATTCTTTTTTGAAATATTCGTTCTTTTTCTAGTGTTGTGTGGGGACAAACTGTCGATCATTTTCAACTGTGGTGTTGAGAAAACATGTTCTTATTTTTTTATCTAAACTATTATAACTGTTGTTGTAGTCCTCAGTCAACACAAATTATTAGGGGAATTAATCAAAAGTGGAGCAGACAGAATCTGGAGCAGCTGTGCTGATTGGTTGCCACGTAAATCTGCTCCATATTCAGTCTGCTCTAGTTTTAATAAATTCCCCTCGATGTATTGGTATAGGAATATAAGAAAGAATAATACAATCGAAGGTTTATGTATAGTGCAGTCCTTCTCAAGCATTTTACTATAAAGGACCATCTAACATAATTTGTAGGTCTTGGGGAACCCTATCTAAAACCAATTCAATGGTGATCAGTGGAAAGAATGCTCCTTACACTGGTGGTCAGTGGGAAGAATGCTCCTTTCACTGGCGGCCAGTGGGAAGAATGCTCCATCCACTGGTGGTCAGTGGGAAGAATGCTCCTTCCACTGGTGGTCAGTTGGAAAAAAGCTCCTTCCACTGGTGGTCAGTGGGAAAAATGCTCCTTCCATTGGTGGTCAGTGGGAAGAATACTCCTTCCATTGGTGGTCAGTGATAAGAATGCTCTTTACATTGATGGTCAGTGGGAAGAATGCTCCTTCCATTGGTGGTCAGTGGGAAGAATACTCATTCCATTGGTGGTCAGTGATAAGAATGCTCTTTACATTGATGGTCAGTGGGAAGAATGCTCCTTACATTGGTGGTCAGTGGGAAGAATGCTCCTTCCATTGGTGGTCAGTGGGAAGAATGCTCCTTCCACTGGTGGTCAGTGGGAAGAATGCTCCTTCCATTGGTGGTCAGTGGGAAGAATGCTCCTTACATTGGTGGTCAGTGGGAAGAATGCTCCTTCCATTGGTGGTCAGTGGGAAGAATGCTCCTTCCACTGGTGGTCAGTGGGAAGAATGCTCCTTCCATTGGTGGTCAGTGATAAGAATGCTCTTTACATTGATGGTCAGTGGAAAGAATGTCCCTTATATAAGTGGTCAGTAGGAATACAACCCTACAATGGTGGTCAGAATGCCACCCTTATGGACAACTAAAATGATGATTGCTATTGGCTTTGCAAAGTGGTAATGGTCCAGGAACTACACAGACACCATAAAATGGAAGGTCAAGCAGCCACAACTCAAGAAGCCTCTGGCAATATCTGGAGGAACCCTCGTTGAGAATGACTTGTATAGTGTAGGCAAAACTGGATGTATAGAAAGATTCTAATATATATAGTCAATATGGAGTATATCCACTAAAACTCCATTGGCTGCTGAACATATATATAAATATACTCCTAAAAATGTACTATACTTATACATTTATTTTGTTTTGCATTATTCTTACATTGATTTCATAACCAATAAAAGAAACGTGTTTAATACATCTGGAAATTCATTCAAATAGCAGGCCTGGGTGAACTTTTTAAGGGCCTTTAAACAAAATGATGGCATCATTGAATGCTCTGATTAAAGATCTTTCAGAATTTCGTACAAACGTTCAACCGAAAGACTACACAAGTATGGACAGATCAAGGATATCAGAAAGTTCTAGGTTGCAGCTGCAAAGAGTGTGAGATGAAAATCGGAGTTGCTCAGCAGGTAGACCACGTCTGATTTCAAATGAATGGCTGCCATGTCAGAATAGCCTACAACACTAAAGCACTGGCAGGTATGTAATTGTGGAGTGTCAAGAATGAAAGTCGAAAGAGCATGGTGGGACCATATTCCTACATACACATGAGCGCGGCCTGCACCGCAGTCACTTATCAGGTCTGGAGTCGGCACCGGTCCCTCTATGTGACTTCTGAAGGGGCTTGTCACATCCACACCTGTGCCCCTCATTAGTTGAGGTTACCTAGTACTCCTTTGGAGCTTGCCATGACAGAAATGACCCCACTCCCTCCTCCTCTTCCTTCAGTATTCACGCAGCTGGCTCCCTCCCAGTGATTTGTGCGGAGTTGGGGAGGGGAGGGTGGGGGGAGATCAGCAGCATCATTACATGATCTATGACTGAAGCTTCACAGAAGGTGCTTTGGTAGAGCCAGACGCTGCATACAAATGAGTAGTAGGCAAGGCTCGGAGCCCTTCCTCCCGCAAAATTTCCAATATCGCCAGCTGGGAGGGAGAATCACGCAGGCGGGAACTTAATTAGCGCTTAACCCCTCATCTGCCAAGCGGCAAATGGTCAATGTGAACATATTTTCCAACATGAAGTCCCTTGGCCACAATATAGAAAAAAAAAAGTACACATGACCTCTACATAACAAAGGCGCAGAAGGAAGAACATCATCGAATATTCAAATGACATTATAGGCAGGCTTGCCAACTCACACCTTTATGAGAAGTCTGCCAAGAATATGCTGCAATCGCTGATGTCAAAGGAAGATCCCAATTTTACTATTATCTAAGTCACTGAGCCGAACCGTGTATGCCGCAATGGCGTCAGAACTCCCGCAGGTCAACGAATCAAACAGGACTAAGGACACTACTTCAGTACAACTATCACACAACACATTCACTATTCACACAAGATTCACTCAGCTTTCACATACTTTTAAAATTGGATGCAACTGACAAATGTGCAACAGACTCAGATGAAGCCAAAAAGTTCACTGTTGGGTTTATGTACACTGAGCAACTTGGTGCTGGCTCCCATTGAACCTTAAAGGGGCTCTAAAAAAATTGGGAGGTGGAGGTGGGCTTCCCAAACTTATGAATACTATGACTGCCAGTCACATGATCAGAAGCTCATCCCACCGAGCTGTCAGTGACAGCTTGGTCACTGTGCTGGGAGCACACTCTCAAAAGAAGCACAGTGCAGCTGGCAGATCCATATACAGTATACTATATGTACAACTGGTGTTAAAGTGGTTGTAAACTCTTACATATACCCAGTAAAGTCACTGGCCTCAGGTGTTACACAGAAGTGAAATAAATCCTCCTACATAGGTTGTACCTGTTTATCTGCGGTCTTCTCTTCTCTACATCTGTTCAAAATCCAGAATTTATACATCTTCTCAGAAAAAAGGAGGCAGAGAGCTGAAATTACACTTTGCAAAACTCAAGCTCAGCAGAGTTTTGCAAAGTGGGGCAACCCTCAGCAGAGTTTTGCAAAGTGGGGATACCCTCAGCAGAGTTTTGCAAAGTGGGGTACCCTCGGCAGAGTTTTGCAAAGTGGGGATACCCTCAGCAGAGTTTTGCAAAGTGGGGTACCCTCGGCAGAGTTTTGCAAAGTGGGGTACCCTCGGCAGAGTTTTGCAAAGTGGGGCTACCCTCAGTTTTGCACAGTGGAGGGACCCTCAGTTTTGCAAACTGGGGCTACCCTCAGTTTTGCAAAGTGGGGGTACCCTCAGCAGAGTTTTGCAAAGTAGGGGTACCCTCAGCAGAGTTTTGCAAAGTGGGGGTACCCCCCCCCACCCCACACACACACACACAGAACACAAAGCTGAGGATGTCAAATCAGCTGGAGCTCTCTCCCCTGTCACCTTTTTTCTCTTGGTGTCAGGAAAACTCAAAGGAACTCATGCAGATATCAGAGGAATGAGGCAGCAGACAGAAATGACACTTAGCACTCTTGGTTGAGAAAAGTACACACTATAGAGGGATATGCTTTGTTCATATTTCATGTCTGAGGTTTTCAACTATTTTAAGGCCCACCTACCATGATGACAAATATGGAGAAGGTGCCCCTGTGTCCCATGCTTGATTGCAGTGACGAGAAAGATTGAAGAAGCAGGATGGAAATTTTTTCTCAAATGAACACATTTCTAAAAATTAAATTATGAAGTACTTTTGAATGACATTTGTCAAGTCGTTGAGCATACTGAGAATTGTACAAATGTTTGTTTGGATTTCTACTAATGTATGGCCAGCTTTAGAGGCTGTTCTCTATTAACCAGCATTGTTGGAGAAGTCTGGAGACTATACAAAGGATGAGAGCACTTCTGATCTAGAATTATTCAGGCCATATATGGGTTGAATTCTGAATGAATTTTCTTTAGAAAATCAGAAATTTCGTATGTTTTGTAAATCGATGGTGCCACCGATTTCGAAATTCAACCAACCAAGTCTTTAATTTCACATGTTGCTAAAGAAAAGAATTTTCGTGGCCAAGAATTTTCTTTTCTTTCAAGGTCACCGCTCATGCTTGTTTCTTTTTCGACTATATTTATTGCACGATTCTCCCATCATTGATTAGAAATTCTTTCTTTTTTCCATGAGGAGATTGTAGCCGTATTAGTGCATTTGCGACAGAAACAATTGAGTACTGTCCGTGATACTTTTTTTATTTGCACTAACATACAATTTTGAGGACAAGCTTTCGGGGTACGTCCCCTTCTTCAAAGTCCAAACAGTACTATTACAAATCACAAAGTTTAAGCAGAATGTTAGAAGGGATTGAGAAAAAAAAAAAAAGGCTACAGATAAGATACATCAAGAGCGAGGGGGGGAGGGGGGGATACTACACTCACACAGAGGGGGTCAAGCTTCAGCTAATAGATAGTCGTAAAGCTGTCGGATAATGGTTGAGGAATCCCATGTCCAAGTTAAGGCCGTTATCTTTTGTGTCAAATAGAATTATCATTCTTAGTTCAAATGTTTTTCTTTCCTGGATAGATTTGAATTTTCCTTTCAGAACCAAAACATTGAGGTCTTCCATATTGTGCCCTGGTTGTGTGAAATGGTGTCCCACAGGTGTGCAAAGGTCACCTTGTTTATGTTCTTTGATGGTATGTCTGTGCAGATTCATCCTTGTTTGCAACTTCTGTCCTGTTTCACCAACATAAGATCCTTTGCTGCATTTTCTGCACTGGATAAGATACACAACATTACTGGAGGTGCAGCTGTATGATCCGGAGATATTGAAGATCCCTTTTGAGTGTTGGACACTTTTTGATGGATTGATTTGGTTGCACAGCTTGCAGCGTTTCTTATAGCAGGGTTTGCTTCCATTGTTTGTGACATCATAATCAGAAGGAAGTTTCCTACTGATTAGTTTATTTCTGAGGTTGGGGGGTTGTCTGAAAGCCAGTATTGGGGGTTGCTGGAATATTTCTTTCAGAGTTCCATCCTCTGTTATGATGGGTTCATAACATAACATCATAACAGAGGATGGGTTCCATCATATCAATCCATCAAAAAGTGTAAGACACTCAAAAGGGATCTTCAATATTTCCGGATCATACAGCTGCACCTTCAGTAATGTTGTGTATCTTATCCAGTGCAGAAAATGCAGCAAAGGATCTTATGTTGGTGAAACAGGACAGAAGTTGCAAACAAGGATGAATTTGCACAGACATACCATCAAGGAACATAAAGAAGGTGACCTTTGCACACCTGTAGGACACCATTTCACACAACCAGGGCACAATATGGAAGACCTCAATGTTTTGGTTCTGAAAGGAAAATTCAAATCTATCCAGGAAAGAAAAACATTTGAACTAAGAATGATAATTCTATTTGACACAAAAGATAACGGCCTTAACTTGGACATGGGATTCCTCAACCATTATCCGACAGCTTTACAACTATCTATTAGCTGAAGCTTGACCCCCTCTGTGTGAGTGTAGTATCCCCCCCTCCCCCCCTCGCTCTTGATGTATCTTATCTGTAGCCTTTTTTTTTTTTTTCTCAATCCCTTCTAACATTCTGCTTAAACTTTGTGATTTGTAATAGTACTGTTTGGACTTTGAAGAAGGGGACATACCCCGAAAGCTTGTCCTCAAAATTGTATGTTAGTGCAAATAAAAAAAGTATCACGAACAGTACTCAATTGTTTCTTTTTTCCAAAAATTTCCAACATGCCCGATCACTCAAACTTGATGGTTGCATGAAAATCAGCCGTTTCTGTGGCCCACTAATGTGCGAAATTCAAATGAATTCTTAGA